ACATGCTTGCTTTTGACATTACATAAATGATTTACATCATTCAAATCTTTTTATATAAGATAAACTTCTCTAAATATACTTTTGTTTGCTTTTGATGTTGTTTTGTCTGGCATGCTAGTCTTCCCTTATTTATATGCAGCATGCCTGTCATTCTGTGAAAATATAGTAATTATAACTAAATTAATTTTTAGACTACTCTGGAAGAAGAGCTCAGCCAGGAGCAAGATTTGAATTTGCAACTCCTGCTTACCATGCAGACATATTGCCAGTTGTGCTACCTGGACCTCCATCCACTCTTTTCTTCCAGACTGATTAATTAATAAACTAATATAAATATAACCATATCAGTCACTTACAGTGTCAGCTGAGATGACTTAGCACCCATGGTCTTCCATAAGGCCATTGACATTAAGCATGGTAAACAAGAGTTGCAGTTTCAAGTGCTGCTCCCAGCTGATCTGTTTTCCAGTATATTTTAAACTTTATTTATTATCAAATTTAACAAGAGATGACAGCCTAACTGCTTACTTTTTGCCAAATTACTTAGTAATTATTTTTAGCCTTAATATTCCTGTAAAGAAATCTAGCTGATTAACTATATCAAATACCTGAATTTTTGCAGAGCATAAATTATTTTATTACTCAAACATTTTCAACCTATTTGTTATAAGCCATCTTCAGGATTATCGTTCCAAAATGGAATGCTACGTTTTTCGAATACATTTCATTTTTAAATTTAAAATTTACGTTTTATATTTCAACCAACATTCAAGATTGTTTTACGGAGATTAGTAGAATTAAAGAAATTGCAACAAATTTAGGCTACAAAACTGCCACAATTGAAGGCCTAGTCAAGAGTTACAGACAGCATAAAGGCAAAAAAGATACTAAGGTGGATGCAATTAACAAATTCACATTACAATAAGCATGTAGGAAGAGTGATGAATGAATTGAGTACTTACAAAAATGCAACAATGATATATAAAAGAGCACCCAACATCTATAGCTTACTAAATGATAAAGACGGAGTAAAAATGCAAGAGAAAGCTGGAGTTTATAAAATACTGTTTGAAAATCGAGTTAGGAGTAGCAAAGGATTATGTGGGTATAACCAGAAGAGACTTAGCAATACATCTACAAGAACACAAGTACAATGTAAATAAAGGGCACAACAACATCATTTGACAATCATGGCGCAGACGGAAGGAGCTAATGTAAAATGGGATGAGGCAAAAATCATTAAAATGGTCCAATCTCCAACTATTGCATTAGAAATGGAGAAAATGGAAATATATAAAAGGAAAATGAAAGACAATTGTCTAAATGCCACGGATGCTAATGCACTTTCAACAGCATGGAAGTACATGAAACATGGAGATTAAAAACCCTTAAAAACTTGTAGTAGTTATACGTAGCCTTATTTACTGTGTTTATTTAGTAATGCTATTTTGTTTTATTGTTATTTATGTAATGTATTTATTTATAATTTTTATTTAATATACATAATTTATTGTAAATTTTAAATTTAAAAAATGAAACGTATTCAAAAAACGTTGCATTCCATTTTGGAACGATAATCCTGAAGATGGCCTATAACAAATAGGTTGAAAACATTTGAGTAATAAATAATTTATGCTCGGCAAAAATTCAGGTGTTTGATATAGTTAATTGAGTTGCTGAGAAAGACGTGGATAGAAATCTAGCTGTTTGATATTTGAAGTAATTATTGGGCTGGTTATATTTATTATAATTTTAAAATAACTTATTTGGATTTCTATGGAAACAGTCTGTTTTTAATTTTAAAATTACGAACTAATTACTGTATTTAATATTGTAATTTGGTTGCTTCATTATTTTTGTTATTAATGCAATTATAAATAAGTATTATTTCATAAAACTGTAGGCTTTTAATTGAAAATATTTTATTCTTATTAATTTCTGACATCTGATGTGCATGTTAACTGTCTTAACTAATTGTTCAGTATTATCATAACATATCAAGTGCCAGCTGTGAGAGAATGTTATTGAATTGGAGTGAACATCATTAATGCGGCACATACTGCATTAAAAGCAATGACAATGACATTATAAGCATTGTGAATAATGTTAAAATAAAAAAAATGTGCCCCTGGTCATGATGTGGCTTGCGCATTACTACTTTGGCTCGTGTGACTTGGAATACCACTGGAAGTGTTACGTTTTACATTAAATGATATAATATAATTATTATTGAATTCATGGTACCATGACATGATTCAGTTACAATGAAAATAGAACATGATTACAAAAATTTTTAAATAAATGATAACAAGAATTCTTAAATAAATAAATAACCGAAATCATAGTTGAGATTAATAAATAAATAACTACAGAAATAAAATAAACAGTAAAAAGTAAAAATAGATGAATAAATGTCCCTTAATAAAATTTACTTTCATAAAAGGACTGCCATGCGGTAGACAAGCTGTTCACGTCTATATGGTTGATGCAACAGGATTTTTTGTGCGCTTTAAAAATCTCCAATTTTTCCTGATCTCATAGTGTGTATATTATATGTGAGTCTGATGATGGTTGCTGCTCCCATTGTACTTGTGTATGTCCTGATGTTGCGAGTAAGCTGCCAGCATCGTATTATCAAGATTTTTATCAATTGATTGTGTATTTATGTTCTTTGAGACGTTGTTGTGAATTATGCATAGTGAACCCACGTAGACCAGTTTTGATTTGAAACATTGGTCGATTTATGGGATGGAGTAAATCTTCGAATTATGGTTATATGGTTTCTTATCGTTTCTTAAAATTCTGAATATTGTTGGGTTGTATCGATACACAACCTCGACATTGTTAGCTCTGGCTGCTTTCTTATGTATCTTTCTTAAAGATGGGATATAATTTAAAACCGCTCTTAGTTTTTAGTCTACTGACGTATTCTGATGTTTACGTCAGTAGACCAGAAACAAAGAACATTTTATCGTAACTGAAGATGATCAGTTAAACTGATCAAAAACATTATTATTTAGTAAATTTTATTGCTGGATTTTTTAAAGATGTGGTTTTTTTATTTTAATCTATCCAGTTAGTACAAAATATATGAACAACATTATGTTAATTATTTTGCCAAAACAAGTATAATATCTTCTTATACTCCCTGCAGGATAAAGAACAAAGCTGCATTACTTGCATATGTATACTTCTGCCACAAAATCGGCTGATTCGTGCCAAACTACTTTGTTTTTGTATAACAGACTAGCCTGGATTTGATTATCTGAAGCTGTTACCTTTTACCTTGGAGTTTTTGTTATTTATTGTTTAATTTAATTTGTAAAGATTTTATGTTGTCTTAATGGTATGATTTGGACACTCTCTTAACTAGAAATTGTTGCATCTTGCTATAAAGATAACACCCCAGTTAGCTTTACAACTTCAACAGCTTCTATGTTTAAGGTCAAGTTAGCTTTCCTAATATACTTCAGGATAATTGACTTGCTTTGTTTGACTTTGATAATCTTCCTTTTATAATTAGTTTTAGAATTATAGCAAGAAAAAGTGTCTATTGAAGGCAATAACACATTTGCATTGTCTGTCACCATTTTATGAAAAATACTACTGTAATCAAAAAGTATTGGGAATGGTTCATTTAAACTGCACGTGTTATTCTGTGTGTAAAGAATTTTTTTTTGCATAGACAATTTTTGAAAATATTGAATGTAATTGAGCAAAGAATATGCATTAAATTTTGTTTTTGCAACAGAATTACCACTACAAAAACATTGTAAATGTTGTAAAAAGCCTTCAGTGATGATAGTCTATCAAAAAGAAGAGTTTGAGATTTGTACAACATGTTCAAGAAGGCAGAGAACACATTGAAGCTGAATAATGCCCTGGTAGACTCTTCAACTGAACAAAACATCACTCATGTCAAATTTCGTGCTCAGTGATCATTGTTTAACAATTAGGAACATTATTGAACGTGTTCCAGTATCAATTTTATCTTGTCAAGCAATTTTGAAAGATTATTGGGTTTGTGACATGTTGGTTCTTGAGTCATCTGGAAAACATAGAAATTTTTCCAAAAACAACAGTGTGTTCAAGTCGCTGAGGAAATGTTTTCTCAAAGCAAATTGGTCTTAAAATGCATTGTTACAGATGATGAAACGTAGATCTATGCTTTGATACAAAAAATACAATAAAGTAAATCATGCTCAAAAGGTTAAACAAGACCAAAAACACCACATCAATGTCAGTCAAAAATCAAGGTTATGTTAACTGCTGTTTTCAATTATCATGGTGTTGTGCATCATGAATTCCTTCCAACTGGTCAAACTGTCTACAGAGATTATTATTCGAGCATTTTGCATTCTTTGAATGAAGCAGTTTGTAGAAAACAACCTGATTTGTGATGAGAAAACTTTTGCACCAAGATAATACAGCTGCTCACAATGCTCTTGTTATTTGTGAAATTTTGGTCAAAATATTAAACAAATACAGTTCTGCAAGCTCTATATTCACCTAATGTGACACCATGTGACTTTTTCCTGTTTTCTTGACTAAAATTTCCATTTCCTGTCACCGTTTTGAGTCTATTGATGTCATAAAACAAAATACACCGTGAGTCCTGAAGGGGTTTCTCAAAATTGATTTTAAAGCTTGTTTTTAGGATTGAAAGAAATGTTGGCCTAACTTCATTGCAGTGGGAAGGGATTACTTTGAAGGGGACAAAATAAATTTTGATGAATGAATTCAAATGTTGTTTTATTAAATTATTCCTGATCATTTTTGATCACACGGTTGTCTCATTGCTTGCACTGTGAATGTATTATTGACAGTAATTGAATTGTATCAATATATCAAGTACAATAATGAATAAAATAATAATTGACAAATGCTACATAAAAATTGTAATGATAATTTGCATCATTGTTTAGTGCTATATTTTGTTGCAAATTCATAACCTTTATAGCTACATACCAGCTTTGTTCTTTATCCTATGCAGAGAATAGCAAATCCAGTCCAGTTTGCATTTTATTAAATTGTTATTTTACTTATTGAATAAATTGCTAGATTTTATCACATTCAATTCTAAAAATTTAGTTTGAAAGTATATATTCTGATGGTCAAATACTGAATATACTGTATATTCAGACAGAATTTGAACTTCATACAACTAATATGTTTTTTATGGACATAACGTTATTTTCAAATTATCCCCATTCAAACATATCACTGTGTAATTATATGAAAAAATATATCAAAGATTGGATGAAAATAGATTTTTAAGTCCAGTTTCTTTTCATAGGAAATAGCTACCCTTTATCATTGATAATCAGATTATTTTCTCTCTTAAAGGTAAAAACTGGATTACATAATATTCCTATAATTTAACCTTGATAATTGTAATATATTGAAAGAATTGACTATAACTTTCTTCTTAATTTATATATATTGTTGGTATCAATATTTCCTAAAGTTTTGCTATTCAGTTTTGTTAATTTTGTTGATGTTGCCATGTCCTATGTTTTCCCTATAAGTCTTAATTTTTTTTTTGTTTGTTTGTTTATTTTACTGTTTACATTTTTAATTTGTCAGTGTGTTTCTTCCTTTTTTCTTTTTACAATATAAATCATGTTTTAAACATTCCAGTAAATATAGATGATACTGTAACTATTCAAAAACTTAACATCATTTCTTTCAACAGTTGCCATAGTTCTCTGACTTTTAATTGTGTTAGTTATTTCAGCAATTAACTGTTGTTATCAGATAATATCCAAATTATTTTATATCATAAAATTAAATAAAATCCAATTTTTACAAAGTAATTGCAAAAAGAAATGTACAGTACAGTATGTGAGGTCTTCTTTATTTGTAGAATATAAAATACAGTAAAACAGTTTTAAAAAACCTAAGTTTAAAACAGGATATTGAGGAAAAGATGATAAAAATCAGCAAACAAAAACTGTCATGGAAATGCAAACAAAGACCAGGCTGAATGCTTTATTTCTCAAATTGTTAAATATAAAATTTGCAAAAGGCACAAATAAAGAAATTCATGTACAGTAGATTTCTTAATTTATGACTTGTATCTGCTACAGCTTAAGAAATATGTTAAATGAAAAAATTTTTAGCATAATTTTTTTTTTAATCTTAAATGATTGTATATTTCTTTTTATGTTGAACATATGAATTAATTTTTATCATCATATTTAAGTAAGATAATTATGTATATGAAATTAAGAATTTATATATTTGTATTTTAATTTTTTTTCAATATAAGTTTTAATTTGTTAAATATATTTATTATAAATATTTAGGTCTCCAACCAGAATTGAATCATGCACAACCAATTCTAGCATGTACAGCTCATATTCATTGGGATCCAGAATTCTGTGATGTTAAACTTATCCAAACCATGATGCTAATGCATGAACTTTATACTATTGCTGAAGAAGCCAATGCAGTATTTTATCCAAGTTCTCAGAAACACGATGTCAACAACATTCCTCTTCTTCTCTGTGGTGATTTTAATTCTCTACCAGAATCAGGTATTTTTTTTTATTTTGTTAATATGTTAAACTCTCGTCTAAAATAGCTAAATTAACTAAACTAAAATAGCATTATTCACAAACTTATGTTTAAAAAAAAAGTGATTTCATGTCACAGATAATCCAGTACAGTTTTGACTTAGTGGGATCATGCTTGATCTGGCCATAAGACTTATTCTGCTTGAGAATAGTTCTTTTAAATGTAAGGAATCAGGCAGTGTCATATACATTCATTTAAATATCAGTGGATATTGATAGCAAAACTTAATTTTCTGTTTAGGACTTGACACAATTCTTTCAGTCCCATTGCAGTCCAAACTGAAACTTTATTCTCAAGTTTTCCTCAAAACTTTACAGGTGTAGAGAAGGTATCACTGGTATAAAATCTACCATTTACATTGATTGTTGAGTGCAAAACAGTGAATATTCATCATCCAAAACGAACTTTCAGAGAAATTTTACAATAAAGTTCCATACTTTTATTTTTGCTTGTTATCTCTGCATATTTGTTTTGTGCAGAATGACCTGCTTCTTGCTTTTTTTTTTATTTTGTTTTCAGTCTCATTGAGTGAACTAATTTTCAGTTCAAGGTTACAAATAGAATTGAAAGTCACTGACTTCAAAAACACTAATTAATTGGCTTTTGTTAGAATTTTTGCTTCTCTACCAGATCTGTTTATTCTCTGTGGTGGTAATCCACTCTCAGAATGTTGGAAAATGCAATATATATACAGTAAAACCTGTCCAAAACAGGACTTGACTAAAACAGAAACCTGCCCAAATGGAAAAATTCTTTGGTACAGAATGATTTTTTTATGTTAAAAAGAAACCTGTTTAAATCAGAAACTTGTCAAACTTGAAAAATATTTGATGCCATGCAATTCCAGTTTACACAGGTTTACTGTATTCTGTTTTGAAATTCCTTCATTTGCAAAATGGTTTACAGCAAACTTTTTCTAATGTTTTATTTAATGTATAAAAGTTGTACACTGTTAGGTGTAAAGCATATTCTTTTGTTGCTGTTTTGAAAGAAAAAGAAAATTGAATGCAGAAAAAGATTACAGAATATTCTACAGCATTTCATCCACTTTCAAATTAGAGCATGTGCAACATAAATAAAAATTTATCTAGTACAATAGGAATAAATTCTTTTTAAATTACTATTAAATCATTACGTAGAAAATTTCTGTAGTAGCAGCAGAGAGTGATTGAAATAGCATACTGCAGATACAACATCCAATTACAAAAAATCCAGAAACAAGTTGCTTAACTTTTCTGGCAACATTTGGTGGCATGTTATCATATTTTAGTAAAAAAAAAATTTTTATATTTTTAACTATTATAAAATGGCAAAAAAAAAACTTAATTTTGAGGATAGGGATTGGTTTTATTTTAAAAAAATTGTAAATGCTAATAACAAGTAAAATTGTCATTAAGTCTGATCCAGCTGGAGATACACGACACCCTTCATCTCCCCATCCTTTGACCTTTAATCACCAAAATTTAATAGCATCAATTCCTGTAATACACAAACCTCTCTGCAAAATTTCAGGAATTTTCTTCAAAAAGAATAGCAGTTATTAAGTTTCAAGCAGGGTGAAAAAAATTATGTGCACACAATCATACTAACATCAATACAAACAGAAACCACTCCCAAATATTTTTTTGCATTTCTTGACATTTCAAGGTGTTCTAAGTCCAAAAATGAAAAAATCTTGGGGGTCATTTTTGACTGATTACCACATTGCCCCTCTGTTATATATAACAGCCAGAAAAGTGAAAAATTGAAATTACTCAGAAGTTATTGGTTCAAATTATCATCAGTTGAATGTCTATTGCTTTGATAGTTAGCAATTTATTGTGCTGAATTAATTAGATCATAAAAACAACAGTGATATACTAATATGCAAGGAATATCCTGAAAGTAAGTTTTCTATTAAACTTAACTAAACAATAATAGAAACATGACAATGTGCACAATATATAACCATGATCTTCTTTCTCTATATTATGATTCAAATATTTATCATATCTGGAAACAAGCATTTGTATACTATGGTTAAAGAATTCTTCTAGAAAAGACATTATCCACTGCTGGGCAACTTTTTCTTGTCCAGTCAGAAAATGAGCAGTATTGAAAAAAATCCCTGTGTAACGAAAGGATTATAGGCTGGATGCTCAAAACCATTCTGTTTGAATGTATCCAGTAGTACATGTGTATGAATGGCAGCATATAGTTGGATGACATCAGAGATAAGATTTTATTACTTGTTTGGAATTGTATGCTGTTTTCTCATACTTTAAAGGTTCATTGTTCCTGAAATTTGGTAATAAATTTATAGTTAAAAGATTCATTTTCCTTCCTGCTATTTAATTTTTGGCTTGAGGATCCAGCTGTATTATATTAAAAGATGGAAACTGTGATTCATTGCTTCTTTGGCATAAATGTACAGTACATAATTTCCTTATAAATTGCAATGGGTGAAACATGCTTTATGTTGAGAATTCAAATAGTTGACCTCATCTCACATTTGATAGGATTTTCTATCTTAGCACCCATTTTGGAACACTCAAACCAACCAATAAAAGCTACTCATAATGGAACATGTTTACAATGACTCAGTACAGTTTTTATGCTATTCAAACGAAATGTTGTCTCTCTATCCTTTAATTAACACAGGCATAATAGAAACTTGGTTTTTGGATATGTCTCATGCACTGAACAAAGAAGATACTATATTTAATGTATTTCATATCCTTCTTGTTGCATTTTCTCCTTTATTTCTTGCTAAAGATAGGCAATTTTTTCACATTTTATATTAATATAGTTTATCTAATCAATTTTCATTGATGATCTTAAACTTTTTTTAATGTACTACTGAATAATAAATTATAATAAATAAATAAGCCCAAAATAATAAATTAAATAAATGATAATACAAGATTCATCAGACCATAACTTGGCTAATTAAATATATAAAATAATGTGAGCTAAAGGTAGGCAATTAAATCACCATCTTATATTTTAAATTTGAATGGCTCAAGGAATCAATTACAGTAAGAGGAGCTCAATGTGGGAGACACGTTCCTAGATGACAAAGTGCTAAACGAAACAGCATTGAACGAGGTCATTTTAACATAGAGTAAATAGGGAAAGGGAACATGTAACCAAAAATAAACAGATTTTACTTTAATTTTAAGTTATATTATTATGCAAATTAATATAAAAATATACACACAGAAATGTAAAGTTCATTTTTTGTGAAGAAGATCCTGACTTTTCTGAAATTCTTGTATTTTGCAATAAAGTCTTGTAGTTTCATTTGTTGCTTTTTCTTTCTTTCTTTTTAAGCAAATGTCATTAGTGGGAGATTGCATCAAAATGCCTCATCTTGTTTTTGCACTCCTTTCAAAATCTGGATCATTCGCTACAATTTGATCAATGATTTTGGTTATCGTTACCAAACTTTTACAGAGGAAGTCTGTAAGAAATTCTTTGAATTCTTCATTTTCAGAATCACTATTTTCCAGTTTTACACAAATTCCTTATTCTGTTAGTTCTTGAAAGTCATTGTTTGTAAGGCTCTCAATAGAAAACCTACAGTAACTCCTCAATATCCTGCTTGTCTACATCTCCTTGTCCTGCTGTATTGAGAAGAGCCTATTGCTGTATCATTAGGTTGACCAAATTGTCAGCCTAACGATACAGCGATAGGCTCTTCTCATTGAGAATTCTTGGATACCGTCAGCCATAACTGCATGAACAAAGTGTGGAAGAAGTTATCAGCTAATTCTTGCCGAGCAAAGTCAATATTTCCTATGGTATCCATGATATGTTTTTTTTCAAAAATTCCACCAAACATAAATTTAAAGAAAGTACAGTGCTACGACGAAGTGCCACCTTTTGCTGATTGATTCGTGTTTGGGAATAATCAATGAATTGCTGCAATAATTTGAATCAGTATAAATTTTGAGCTTTTTCTAGGCTTCAAGCAGACCGCGTTATATCGAATCATCATTAAGCAGGGTCTTACTGTATTATCATTTGATTAATTTATATTAAGTAAACATTTTTGGAGAAGTTTTTAATAATGAAGCATTTTAATTTTGAACTGATGAGTATTATGTCCATATATATTATATATAATGATGATATAATTAGATTATTTAAAATTAAATTATACTCATTTTAACAGTTTTTTTTTTTTTAATTTTTTTGAAAGGTGTTATTGAGTTCCTATCAACTGGTAGAGTTTCTGGCAGTCATCCTGATTTTAAAGATTTTAGATACAAAGAAAGTTTACGGAAATTTAATTATTGTGATGCAACAAATGAATATACTCATCCATTTCGTATCACAAGAACATATAATGATGGAGTGATGCCATACACTAATTACACTTTTGACTTCAAGAGAATTATAGATTATGTATTTTATTCAAAACGACACATTACTGAATTGGGAGTATTAGGTCCGTTGGATGCCGAATGGATGAGAGATAACAAGATAGCCGGTTGTCCTCATCCGCACATTCCTTCCGATCATTTTCCACTTCTGGTGGAGCTTGAGCTATCTTTGCCTACACCATCCACCCTCATAATCCCAAATGACCTTATATTACAAAGATAGCAGTGTTAGAAAGAAGAAATTGTTTATATTGTTTATGGATAATAGTTGTCATCACTGTGGTTTTAATTCATGAAAAGAAATCTTTATAAATCAGGACATATTTTAATCATTTTATGGCAATCCCAGCAAGAAAAATTATCGTTTCACTGTTTGAAGGACATCAGGAATTTAATCACTATTTCATCTTTCAATCAGATGAGCTGCAAATCAAAATAGTGTAGGCTCTGTAATGAAGCTCAAAAATTATCTGCCAGCCATACTTTGAAGATCATTTTATTATCCCATAAAACAACTCACAAATGTGAATATGAAATCAAATACTGCTTTATGATCTTTGGTATACAAAGTATACCAAAACTGTAAAGACAAAAATAGCACAGTTTTTATGGCATTGTTCTTATAAGATACCTGACTGTTTTATTAATATCCCATTCCCAAAATTGTGGTGACAGTTTATAAAAATTACCTGGGATAACCTGACGTAATTGGGGATTTTTTTCATTGTTTTTCTTTCCTATTATAACTTCTTATATATANGTGAAAATGATTTACTTTGTTTTTTAACTCAAAAGTTATGTAATAATAATTTAAATTATATATAAATGTTACATTAATTAATGTAAAATGGATTTCTATAATATAGAATTTGAAGCAAACAAAATCAGATGATGATGATGATCTGATCTTTAGTTACAATTTCATTAGAAAAATGGTTAAAAGTAATAAATGAGAAAGTAATCCATAGTCAAACTAGAGTTATTGTTTCAAATAAATATAATTATTTTAGACCTCAAAATTCACTTTATATCAATGAAAAGATTTTGTAACTTCTAGCATTACAATTATTGAGTCATGTATCTTGATCATCACAATATACTAATCACACATCAAAAATGATTTTTAAACATTCATCTTTTATTGAGTAGGTTAGTTTACTTTAGCATTGACTATTATAAATAAAATTTTGTTAGTTTATTTTATCATTTACCAGTCTAAAAAAGAATAAATGTTTGAAAATAATTTTTTCTATTTAATTTTCATGTCTATGATATTCACTGAGATAGATTTGAAAGTTGATCATTCAACTTCTAAACAGGACTTTCTCTGATATATTGTATAGAGATGAATAGTTATTGTGAACTTTTTAGCTCTTAACATATAAGTTGAATTGATATTGTTACTCACTTCTATTTAGAATGTGGATTGATGTACAGAAAATGAATGAAAGAGAGCTAAAGGAGATGCATGTCTTTCTAAGCTCTGCTAGATTCCGCTTAGAAATCACAATGGCAGATTAAATATCTGCACATGGTATAAAGGATTCTTCATGTTTTCTGAAGATTTCAGACAAAGGAAAAGCTGTTTGATGAGTTTAAATTACAAGTTAAAATCTACAGATAGCCCAAATCTACTTTCAAATTGACTTTTAAAAACAGATAACTTTTATTAAATAATGCTTCTAGCCCACAACATAAATTGAGATTAAATTGACTAGAAATTGGCTATATTTATTGTTTGGTGCTTATTGACAAGACTGTCTTGTTTATAAAATCATACTGCCTGCTGTGTTACCAGCTTAGAGGTATGAAGGAGTAAATGTCAGGAGTTGCAATTTGGCACAGAGTATTAGGTGCCGAAATCATGCATGCATTAAAAAAAAAAAACAGACAGACTTGTGGGTACTCGGGACCGAAATCTGAGTCAAAATAAAATACAAAGTGGCGACGCTGTCTACAAACAGGCAAACCAAAGTCAGATGGTGAGAGTACCACCCACAGTCATTCTAGGAAATGGGCTCTGACCCTAGGACTGAACATGTAGTATTTTCTTTGTTAAATAAAATTTGTAATCTAATTTTGTAAATTTGGGAGTGCTTCAAATATGACATTAAAACAGAGATTTATGTCATTACAAGTGGGTTTTTTTAACATTATCTAGTATAGTAAAATCGTGGGACCAATAAAAATTTGACATTATATTAGGGTTGTCGTTATATCCAATGACGTTATAATCAGGTTAAACTGTATATTGTTTGTGCAAAATAAAATAAAAAATAATTTTGGATGATACAATAGCCATGATTATTTTTATCAAGAAAGGGAAATTTTCGTTACGCATCGACAAAAATTCAACCCAGGCCGACATGCAATGGAAAGAAATTTCGACATAGATAGGGTAATTTCATCAAATGCAATCGTGGATGACCTCGTGGTCGTGGCTGGCAAAGTTTGAACAAATGTGCCCAAAAGCAGCAATAGCAAAGAAGATTGGAGAATGAGACCTGCCTTGAGTGTCAGTGGTTCCGCTTAGTAATGACTCTCTGAGACATGGTCTTGTCCCAAATATAGTTTTGTCATGTTAGTTGTTTAATTTTTTAATGTATTGGTTTTATATTTTGTAAACAGTGCACTATATTTACACAAAAGAATTCTTAATTTGGAATTGCTATTTCTGTCGTGATGGTTTTGTGTATACTGTATGAATGTTTGTAGGCCGATGAGAGATCTTGGTGCTTGAAATGCATACTAAAATTTGATTGTAGGTAACTAAAGGCTATGTTGTAAAAAAAATTAGTCTGTTGGTTCCAGTCATTTCCCAATGTGATAAGCCCTTCAATTTATTATAGCTGTATTTAGTAGGCTAGTCAATTTAATCTTAACTGATAAACCTATTAGTTATCTATATAAAATTACAATAATAATTTAAGAATAAATAGTATTTTGCTTTTATTTTATTATATTATTTTAAGATTTTAAATATTTAATCTTTTTAAAATAAAATGATAATTTATATTTTTATTACAGTTTTGACTTCAAGGGAATTATAGATTATGTATTTTATTCAAAACGACACATTACTGAATTGGGAGTATTAGGTCCGTTGGATGCCGAATGGATGAGAGATAACAAGATAGCCGGTTGTCCTCATCCGCACATTCCTTCCGATCATTTTCCACTTCTGGTGGAGCTTGAGCTATCTTTGCCTACACCATCCACCCTCATAATCCCAAATGACCTTATATTACAAAGATAGCAGTGTTAGAAAGAAGAAATTGTTTATATTGTTTATGGATAATAGTTGTCATCACTGTGGTTTTAATTCATGAAAAGAAATCTTTATAAATCAGGACATATTTTAATCATTTTATGGCAATCCCAGCAAGAAAAATTATCGTTTCACTGTTTGAAGGACATCAGGAATTTAATCACTATTTCATCTTTCAATCAGATGAGCTGCAAATCAAAATAGTGTAGGCTCTGTAATGAAGCTCAAAAATTATCTGCCAGCCATACTTTGAAGATCATTTTATTATCCCATAAAACAACTCACAAATGTGAATATGAAATCAAATACTGCTTTATGATCTTTGGTATACAAAGTATACCAAAACTGTAAAGACAAAAATAGCACAGTTTTTATGGCATTGTTCTTATAAGATACCTGACTGTTTTATTAATATCCCATTCCCAAAATTGTGGTGACAGTTTATAAAAATTACCTGGGATAACCTGACGTAATTGGGGATTTTTTTCATTGTTTTTCTTTCCTATTATAACTTCTTATAAAAAAAATAGAAAAAAATAAAAAATTTGGTAGTTAGTATTTGGTAAAAGGGTGAGTTCTAGATCATTCACAGGCTAGTTTAGTTGGGTCAAGATAAAATGACATATATATATCTTGTAAACATATATACATATATATATATCATTATAGAAGGTCAGATAATATAAGACATAGATAGACCAGAAAAAATTTAATAATGTTTGTAATTATTATTTTTTTGTCTTTGTACACCGTCCAGACTTACAGTCAAACACGGCAATGTACAATTATTTACATTTTTAATTTTTAATTACTTCATAAAATCTTCATTGGATTATGTCTTCCCCTCTCTCTATTAAGCAGTACAATACCAAGAAACGTTTTTTGCATTGTCATTCGACAGCTTCGTCAAATGATATCGCACGTTTGGACACTCTAGTGTCAACACTGTCCAGTTTTTCTTATCTTTGTATGTTGTAATTGTAAAATACTTAATTGGTGGCAGTGCCACAGTAATTACAATAATATCTTAGAAAAATCAGCTGGGATTTGGGTTAAATTTAGATGTTGGGTTCTCCACCATGAAGTACACTATTGTAAATGAGTAATGTGCTCGTTAAACATTTTCATACAGATTTAATAGCGGCTTAAAATTTTTGTTGTTCACATAATTTTGTTTGTAAAGAAATATTATTATCTATTGTACAAATGTTAAAACTGCCTTGAAAGAAAATGAATTGTTAAATGTAAAATGAAAAAAAAAAAATATGCAACCAAGAACCAGTGAGAATTTCATTATTATTTCTATAACTTTCTACATCAAATTAATTAATGCTTCAAATTTTTGTGGTTTGAAATTTGGTAATAAATTTATAGTTAAAATTAAGACATTTCCTATGATTCAGTAAAATTAGAATATTTTATGCCGTTCTTCTGCTCAGAACCCATTGCACAATTACAAAATGTATTCTAATACTCATAAAGAGGAAAAAAAAAAGTCCAACACCAGTACCTGTTGTCATTGTGTTCAGAGATGATGCTTGTATAAAATAAGACATTGGTGGGTCTAATTTTCTAGTATTCTTGACCTTTTTACAATTAGGTAGCACTTACCATTGTTCACCCTTCCATGTACACCGTGCTTCATCATTGTAATCTGTACAGAGAATGACTGTACATTGACGAAGTATATTAAAATGTTTTGCATTAAATTTGTACTATTGTGAAATTTGCTTCATTTATTATTTCTATCAAAATGTATGTAATTTACTCTTAATTTTGCAATTTGTGAAAACTGGTTTTAATTTTTTGATTCATTTTTTAATTCAGAAATGTTAGTATTATAATATGACCAGAAATTTGACATTTTTTAATTCTGATGTAATGGATGATATTTTTACTGATTATTACAGTTCTTATGATTTGAAAAAGCATCTTATGAATTTGAGATTTTTTTCATATAAATACATCAATATATATATATTTATATATATATTTAATGTATAAAATGATCAATAATATAATAAAGTTTATAAAAACAGTATCATTTACATTGAGTTAACTTTTAGATAAACGTTAATATTTTGTTTTTGAAGCAATTTTTCCTATTAAAAATATATTTTATTAATAAAATTTCAAATTAAGATTAAATACAAAATTTTATGCATATATCTAATAAATATACTATGGTAGATCACATAACAATAATTCAGAAAACAGGGGGGAGTTTACATGTTATTTCAGTGTCATGAATAAATCCTAAAATTTCAATTTTAGTTGCAACATTAATCATTATTTCTGATTTAAAATACCGGTACATTTCTTTTAAACACTGGGAGAACAATTTTCTAGTTTCCAGCTTTGTACATATTTCTCTATTCTTCATATACAAATATTTCCTTAAATTTCTTCTTGTTTTTANGTATGTCTTTTGTCATTGTTATATTTACATTTTTAACATAATTATTGCTCAAGAAGAAAAAATTCAAA